TATATATATATATATATATATAAAGGCCTCTCATGCAACTTCACATTTTATCCCCAATTTAGAAAACCCTCTTGCAGCCCTGGGCCCATCTCCCTTCCCACTAGGGGACCCCCTCCTGAGGTCCGCCTGGACCAGCCCTGCCTGCTCCTGGAGTCTCTCAGCCTCTGGGAAGGGACCCTGACCACCCCACAGGGCTGTCCTGCGCTCATGTCTCCACAAATGGCTACTCACGGCTCCCCACTCCTCCCCTGCCTTTCTGGCTCTGTGCTGTGTTTATGGGGTTCCCCTGGGTGCACAGTTCCCCACTTTTACTGCTATTTTGCTTTTACTTTTCATTGCACCCCAACCCCCAGACAGCATTAGCCTGTGGCTTCACCTCTGGTGCCCCTAAGCCCCTCACTCCAGACAGACTCTGGGGGAATGTGGTCCAGAGAGTCCTATGAAGGCCCGAGTTAGGGGGGCCTGCAGAAATCTCTGCTTTTGCCCAGTAGGCCTGAAATAATGAGCGAGACAGGCCTTTAATGATAGACCATGGGGCGGGGGGTGCAGCTCACTGGCGGAGCGTGCGGCTTGCGTGTGGGGCACTGGGTTCCATCCCCAGGTCGCAGCACCCGCACCCACACAAATGACAGTAGCGATCACCATCGCCCACGCAGCCCATGCAGCACCAGGTGCCCTTCCAAGCACTTTATAAGCCTTGACTTGTTTAATGCTCAACCCAAACCCGGGTTAGGTGCTGCGAGGCTTCCCATTTCCCAAGTAGGAGACGGAGGCACAGAATATCGAGGGGACTTACGCAATCACTGGTTACCCAGAGCCAGACTTGACCCTGCCATAACCATAGCCCTATGGAGCATCCCCAAGTTGCAACCTGTGTCCCCTTCTGTGGGCCAGTGATGGTCCCTCTGGCCCTGGTATTTGGTGCCTTCCACGGGCTACAGCTCCCAAACCTGGGGACTAACTTGACGCCAACTGAGCCCCTTGAGAGCCTGGCGCACAGGTAGCACCCGAGCCAAGGTGCAAGGTGCTAAGCCCCGCCTCCCGCACCCCCACCAGCAAGCAGCACAGGGGAGGTGGAGCCTGAGCCAGTCGGGGACCGAGGGCAGCCTGGGTGGGCAATGGGGTCTACGTTCTGTGACTAACCCAGAGTGGGCCGAAGGCTTTCTGTGGAGGCCCAGTAAGTGCCCGCAGCAGGCCCCGAGGATCTTGTACATTCTGTCCAACCATTCAACTCTGTCACCGCAGCATGAGAGCAGACGGACAATAGGTAAGTGACTGAGCGTGGCTGCGTGCCAACCAGAGGCTGCTTACCGACATTGAAATTTGAATTTCATGCAATGTCCACTTGTCCTGAAATGTTATTTTCTTTTGATTGTTTTCCCCAGCCATTTCAAAATGCAAAAACCTTTCTTAGTGCACAGGCCACATGAAAATGAGCAGTGGGCTCATTTGGTCCGTGGGCCATAGCTTGCCAATCCTGTTCTACAAAGAAATGCCTGGGTTGGGAGTCTAGAAGCCTGGGCTTTGAACTATTGTCCTGTCATTTTTTAGCTGTGCAATCATGAGCAAGTGCTTAGCCACAGAACTGAACTCCGTCACCTCCTCTGTACAATGGAGATACCACCACCTACCTTCTGCTCCCAGCATGGAGGAACTAACATGAGGAGATTCCAAAGGGCATCCATCAGCTCTTGGCAGCAGGGGCAGTTCTCAGGAACCTTAGCAGGTCCATGATTACCCTCTCCCCAAAGACCTTCTAAACCAATATCCAAGACCATCTGGCCTCTTTCCATTCTTTGCTGGTGTGCTGCCTCCTCTGTCGCCCAGTGCCTGCTCCTCGGGTGGTCCAAGCTATCCATGGTGGACAGCCAGCTCAGTGCACTCTGCCAGCTGCTCCGGGATCCTGTCCTCAGGGGCCTTGCCCTGAGAGGGACGTGTACCCCATGCGGGGGCCTGCAGGCAGGAGGGAATGCTCACTGCTCACCCCAGCCGTACCTTGGAAAGCGCTTCATGCAGGCTAAGGGAAAGAGGTTGAGAGTGGAGAAGGAGAGAAGTGGGGCATCACTAACCGCGAGCATCCCAGCTCAGGGCCTGGCGTGGGCAACACTAACCCTCAAGAGAAAAGGAACCACAGGCACAGACCAGAGCCCAGGTCCCCTTCCCTGACATGTGCCACCTGGATTCCAACCCCCTGGGGAAGGGGAGCAGCCAGAGTTGCTCTTTGGAGCTTTTCAAGCACATCTGGGCAGGGGAAGGAAGGGGCCCGCAGACAGATGTCTGATGCAGAGCACTGTGGGCCAGCGCAGTACCACGGACACCACGCCTTACACAACAGAAATGTATTTTCTTACACTTCTGTGGGTTAGAAGTTCAAGAGCAAGGTGCTGACAGCTTGGTTCTCCTGAGGCCTCTCTCTTGGCTTGCAGATGGCCGCCTTCTCCCTGTGTCCTCGCGTGCCTTTCCTCTAGCACGCACACCCATCCCTGTGTCTCTGCGTCTCCAAGTTTCCTCTTCTTATAAGGACATCAGTCTGTTGGAGAGGGCCCACCCATGACCTCATTTTATTACTTTTCAAAAGGCCCTTCTCCAAGTACAGCCACACGCAGGAGCACTGGGAGTCAAAGCTTCCATATGTGAATCATGGGGTGGGGGGGAGACCGAGTCCAGGCCATAACACCATTGCTCTCACCCCTTGAGAATGTGCCAGCACTGGGGAGTCCTAATTCCACAATGTCTTGGGGACAGGAAGGGGACGTTTGGGCAGTGTACAATGTGCCTCTAGGCATGAGTGGTGCCTGGGCTGGTGGAGGTGATTGCATCTGTGGTGTCCTTGAGGACACCAAGTATCATCCACTCTAGGGAGTGGTGGGTGGTAGGGTGCGTGGGGGACGCCTTGCAAAGCCCACGCACCCACAGCCTTCGAGTTCCATCTGCAGTTCCTCCAGGGACGGGCGGCCCCTCCCCCACCCTCCGCTGCTGGCACAACTGAGTAGTGGCAGGGGTCCCGAGCTTGGGGTCCAAGGAGAGCGTCACTGCAGCCTGTGGAAATCACCGCATCTGTCTCCTGTCCCCTTCTGCCTCACACCCCTTTCCCTGTGGGTGGAGGATCTGTGCAGAGCACAGGAAGTGCCCCCCATCCCAGCTAGCAGTTCAGGCCTGCCCCAGGCTGCACCCTGTCTCCAGTCACTGTCACTGCTGCTGGAGAGACCTCTTTCCAGCTCGCACTTGCCCCCTCCTCCGCCGCCCACCTGGGGCTCCCTCCTCCCTCCCTCCCCAGCAGACCAGGGAGGGTGGCGGGCAGGCTGGGAGCTGCTCACAGGCCACCTCTCCCTTTGTGCGCACCTCCTGGAAAGATTATTAAACGCAAATTACAAAAGACGTGACCTAAACGATCTTTATTTCTTCTTTCAACAAGTGTTGCCTGCAGGGCCCTGATTCTGAATTCCATTTCAATTATCTCGGCCATTTTAGACACAAAGCAGCCGGTGTTTGTAATTACCAGTGAGGAAGGAGGCAGGGAGAGGAAGTCCAGGCCTCTAGCTCGGGATGGCCACCTCTCCAGACGGAACTTGCCTCTGTGGCCCTTAAAGGCACCCAAAGCAAAAGACGGGACCCTCGTGTCGATGCCTGTGGGGGTGACTCACAAGCCCCGGGGCCCTATGCCCTGAAAGGTGTCCAGAGGCTCTGCTGGCAACAGAATGAGCTGGGCCAGCGACCAGCCCCTGCTTCTCCAAGGTGGCAGCACCTCCCTGTTCAGGACAGATGAGGAACAGGAGCATGGCTCCCCCAAAATCTGATCCCTTGCTCTGGGGAGAAGAAGCCACCATGGCTGCAGGGGTCCAGCAGGGGGCGCTGCTTCATGAACTGCAGGAGCACACCTTAGGGCTGGCTCCAGCGGCCCCTGTCCCCCAGCACAGTCATCCCATCTGGAGAATGGAGATCACATCTAGCTTCCCAGCAGGCCCCGCCTGGTGCCACCCACAAGGGACCAGGGATGAAAAGCCCAACTTTAAACCCGTGAGGTCTGCCCTGTCTCAGCTAGGGCGGATGACCTTGGGCAAGTTGTGTGACCTTGTTGAGCCTCTCTCAGGGTCACCAGCTGTGAAACAGAGACGGTCATGGTGCCTCCACCCCACAGGGCTGTTGTGAGGCCTCTAAATCGAATGTGGAACCTCAGCACGGTGCTGACAAGCCTGGCCTCGGAGTTGACGCCCAATAAACCAGGTCGCCAAGCTGCTCCAACCAAAGCCCAAGGTCTAAGCATCTCAGTGGTGCCACCCTGCCACCCTCCTGGACACCCAGGACCCTGAGGAAGGCTGGCTTCCTCACCTTCACCCAGGGGCCTCTGAGACCAGGCCAGGGCCGGCCAGCGAGAGGGGGGATTTACAGCTGCGCTTAGCCAGGGCTGGGCCGGTCGTTTGTCACCCGGAGCTGGGGCACCTTGTTCTACCTGTGTTGAGTGTGTTTTATTGGCGTTGAGCAGAGTGGGGCCGGAGCGGATCAGGGATAGGAAACCCACTCAAGTGAAAAATGAGGAGAGCCAGATGGAATTGAGGGGAAGGCAAGGGGGAGAGAGGCGGGGAAGGAGGTGAAGGGGCGGATTGTAAAACACAAGAGGAAGGTGTGCAGCAGCCCTGGGGTTACTAGGGAGAGGGGCACGTGGCCCTTGGGCTCCATCACACCCCAGGAGCCGTCCCTGCAGCTGCAATGGCAGGTCTGGGGAGGAGCTGCAGGCTCCAGACCAGAGGAGGCCCAGAGCCTCCAGGTTGTGGGAGGCCAAGAAGGTGTAAAACCAAAAGCAAACTCACCCCGCGGCCTCGCCTCCCAGGTCTCCCCCTCAGTTTCCCCTTCCGGTCCACTCAGGAGGCCAAGCGCCCAGCGTGGAATTCCACACCCCTCCTCCGCCTCCTTCAGCACAGAAGCTTCAAGTCCCAAATGGAGAGATGAGATGGGGACTGTGGGGAGGTGGCTTTAGAGATCTCCCTGTTAGGAACAAGAAAAGAGAGAGAGAAGCCTAGGAAGAGACAGAGAGAGAGAGAGAAAGAGGGAGAGAAAGAAAGATAGAGAGATAGACACTGGGCTTTGTGCCTGCAACAAGCCAGGAAAGGTGCATTTTTAATTAAATTTATACAAAATGTGTCAGTTTTATCTCTAGGTTTCAAACCTGCCTCTCTTCTATCAAAGGGAAGTATTGATCTCCATTGCCCCGGAGCTACCTGACTGAATTAAACAGAATAAATAGAAGGAGGAGGACCGAAAGGGCTCAGAAACAACCGCAGAGAGGCAAAATCTAATGGCTCTACAGTCATTTGCTGCAATTAAAAAACAAAACCATTTAGAGGGCCTGTTAACACCTTGAAGTCAGAAAACTCCAGCTTCAAAAAAAAAAAGGCTCCAAACAGCTCCCAGGCAAAACATTTTAATTGCTATAAATCCTTCCATCTTTGGCTGGCACTTGGGCATCTATGCATTTTCCTCCACACAAGAGTGTGCAGCTCCTATCCATGGTGCTCCCACCCACATCAGGCTCAGCGATTTCTGGTCCTTTGTACTCACTCGTAAGCCCAACCGAGGCAGCGGCGGCTCCCAGCCCCCCCCCCACAGCCAGGCCTGGTGGGCTGGTTTTTTCATTCAGCAAGTTACTGTATTGCTTTCTACCTTAGTTTCCTGGTCTATCAAGGGGGACAATAATGCACACTTCACGGAAGTAATTTATTAAAGGGCTTTCTGCAATGCCAAGGACAGAGTGTGGAATCAGTGGCAGCAGAAACAACTAACTGTTTACCCACAGGTGACCTCTGATTTTCTCTTCCTGAAGGTGGAGCCCTGGGGGAAGGCCGGCCCTGGTTCCCATCCCTGGCCTTTACCAGCAACTTCTCTGAGAATCTTGCCAATCTCTCCTATTTGTGGCCCTTCCCCCATAAGTCTCTGACTTATGACTCTTGGGCCCTGTGACCTCCCGTTTTGTCTCATATGGAACTAGAAATGGACATGCCAATCACCTAAGGGACTGCAGAGTGAGTGACAGGCTGCCAAGGTGACGACGGCCGGTTCTTTTCTCAGCCAGGGTCAACTTGATGGTGTTTGGCCATTACAGGTACACAGGACCCTGCCCAGAGGAAGGGCCCAACATTGATGTCGTGCTCTGTGGTTCCTGTCTTGAAATTCTTAATCATTTTTGAACAGGGAGCCTCACATTTTCACCATTAAGCTGGAATTCCACACCACTAAGTTGGATCGGCCTGCCAAGGTAGGGCTACTCAAAGTGTGGTCCTTACGCCATTGGTGCAGCACTGCCTGGGGGCTCATTAGGGATTTAGAGTCATGGTCTCTCCCCAGACAGACCTACTGCATCAGGCTTAGGAACCTGGGTTCCAGTTTGTCCCTCTGGGCAATTCTGAGGTTCATGGAGGTTTAGGCAGCATTACTTCTCAATAGGTACTTGTCATCAGCCACCTCGCTCCCAGCCCTCCAGCCCCACATGGCCCTCCTGGGACTCATCCTGCCCTGGTGCCCCTCCAGGGAGGTGGAATGCACAGGCTGCAGAGCCAGCCCTCCCCTGCCTATCAGGAGAGTGATCGTCCCCATCTCCACCTGGGCAGCTGTGGGCCGACCAGTACTGCTTAATTAAACAGGGAAAAGATCAGGTCAGTGCCAGATAAGCAGGCAGGAGCAGGACACACAGAAAGAATGGACAGGCAGGGAGCTGTCAGCACCCTGGCCTGTCTAGAGTGATTATTAATAACGATAAGCAGGAGAATGGGAATAATAAAGGACTAATGAACTGGCTCTGAAAGTGACAGGAGATGGAATCTGATAGGAGGCTGAGCCCGGGTGCCGCTGCCCTGGGAGGTGTGGTGTGGAAGAGGCCAGAGGAGCCGGCTGGG